CCAGCACTTTATTATAATTAAAACTTGCTGTAATTAAGCTTTAAAAAACTTAAAACAAAGGTCTACCCCATTATAGATCATAATCCTTCAATAACTCATAAATCAAGAACCCAGGGTTTAAAAAATTGGGGCTTTTAAATTAAAAACCAAATCTGAAAATTAATTATCATAATTACAATAACCAAACATCAAAAATAAATCTCCAAACTCATAATTTACAATTAGATTAAAGCCTAGATTAGATTTGGGTAAGAAAGATTTGATTTTAAATTTTTTTTTTTCGAAAGCTGTGACTACCGATAGCAGGCCGGCGCCACTGCCGGCTGCTGCCAGCGCCGGTGGTCGCCGCTACTGCCGGCTGGTGCTGGTGGTCGGCGGCCCACCGGTAGTGGTGGTTGCCGGTGGTGGTGGTGCGCAAGCAAGAAGGGGATGGGAAGGAGAGAGAAAAAGAAAAAGAAAGAAGATAATAAAGAGAAAAGGGAGAGAAGTTTACCTTGGGTTTTCTCCACTCTGGGCAAAGTTGAATATCCTCATAAAAGGGATATTTATACCCCTTCTCTATCACTCCTTTTTACCCTAAACTTTCCTCCTTTAGTTTTTCGTAATCCCTTCCCTACTAAAACTTGTTAAAATCATAATTTCTTAAAATAAAACCCCAACTTCTATTAAATAATTAATTAAACAAACTTCCCTTTAGTAAAATATTCCCAACTTACATGGGATAAATAATTAAAACATCATAATTAAAATACTAAAATTATTTAAATACACTTATAAAATACGTATAAAAATACGGGGTATTACAGTCTACCCCCCTTAAAAAACGTTTCGTCCCAAAACTTGGGAAACGAAATTCAAAACTTTTCATTTTTATGTATAGTATTGCTGTACTTTTTGTCATTATTTAACTCCTTTGTGTCTCTTTGAGAGCACTAATACTCAAAATACTTAATAGAATTTGTGAAAAAAGCACCAAAAATATGTAAAGACAAATCTATCCCCCTTAAAGAAAACGAGTTACGCCCCCGTAACTCAACATACCTGAAACAGCTCCGGGTATTTCTTTTTCATTTTATCTTCTGCCTCCCAAGTGGCTTCCTCATATTCTTGGTTATACCAAAGTACTTTCACAATGTTAACGTTCTTATTGCGTGTACTGCTGATAAGTGTCATTTATGGCACTCATAGGGTAGTCTTTTAGGATGATTTCATCTTCCTTTTTATGCTTTCTTATCTTATTTTTGGTCCTTTTTCCTTTATTTCCTTTCTTTCTTTCTTTCCTTGTGTTTTTCATGTTTTCTTCGTGTTTTCCTTTTATTTGGTTCTTTTTCCCTTTTATTCCTTTTCGTTGTTTGTTCTTGTAGGTACCTAGGATTTGTCTTTGCAAGGAAATCAAGATGGGCTATATTGACTAAGCAAGGAGGAAGTAATCGGCTTGGAGAGTGCTTAGAGAGGGCATGGAGAGGGCATCAAGCCCTGCTAGTCTTCCGCGGGCACGGGTACTGAAGGCCGCGGGCGCGGGCTTATATGCACCAAATTGGCAGATTCGACAAGGAACTATCCGCGGTCTGGCCGCGGGCTTGCCGCTGGCGCGGGTAGTTTGGAGAGCCCGCTCGTACCAGAGAGACTGTGACCCTCTGATCAGCCTTTGGGAGCAGGGGATTCGCCGCGGGCGCGGGTGTTGCCCAGAAAGCCCGCGGAGTTTTTAATGGGTTCCGTACCCATTTTTCCGCGGGCGCGGGGTTTAATGGAGAGGGCGCGGGAATCCCGTTTTTCTTCTTTGCCTATAAATACACTTGTAATTTCTTTTTGAAGATAACTTTAGATAATTTTCATTAGCCTAATTTTAGAGAGAGAAGTTAGAGAGAAGTTCTTGGTATTGGATTTGTATTTCAACATTGGATCAATTGTGCTTGGATTTCTTCATTTTCAATCATTAATGTTGGTAATACTTTCTTCTTCTAGTTCATCTCTTACTTGATTGATTTAGTTTCATCTTTGATTATTAATATTGCTTGGATTTGAATTGGATATTGTAGTTGATATTGCTTTCTCTTGATTTTGATTTAGAATGATGATCAATGCTAATTCTTGTGATTTGTTCTTGAGTTACACCATGATTAGTGAGTAGATTAGTTGCTAGGGAGAAGGGGAAGCATGCTTGATTGATAATTTGTGTTAGTTGATGATCTTTCTTTGATTGATTGAATTGTTGCAATTAAATTGGTTGACATAGTTTTGCATGTAATTAATTAGATTAGGAATGATCAACCTATAAGATTAATCTAGATTGCATTGCATTTCTTAATGACATGACCCATCAATTTGAGAATTGCTTTAATTGATTGAGTTTGATTGTGAATTTCCTTGATTAGCCATTCATAGTGACCTCTAGTTTGGCCTCTAGGAGATAGCTATTGAACTCTCTTAATTGCTACTATTGTTTGTCCTTTGCAATGCTTGAATCAAACGAAGAAATTGTCGATTAGCACGATTATTGAATTAGCATGTGGAACTAATATCCCTAGCATTTAGCTTATTGAATTACTTGATTAGTCTAATTTTGCACTAGTAGAAAATATAAAAAAGACACCCCCTAATTGGCACCGGTTCAGTCCAAACCGGTACCAAAAATGGCCTATAAAATTGGTGGGAAGCTGAATCAGAGTAAAAGGCACCGGTTCACTTCAAACCGGTGCCAAAATCATAAAGGCCACCGGTTTGAACCAGTGCCTTTGTGAACCGGGCCTTTAATTATTTAAAAAAAAAACCAGCCACTTATATAACGCCTAATCCTAAAAGGCTAAAATCAGTCAACCTCTTCTCTCTCCTCTCACTCCGCCTCTCCCTTCTCCTTTGCTCTCCCTTCTCTCTCCTCTAGCTCTCCTTCATTCCCACCAACAACAACAACATCTCCGCAACAACAACACCAACAACATCTCCGCAACAACAACAACAACATCTCCGCAACAACAACAACAACACCACCGCAAAGCCGCCGCCACCATCTCTTCTCTTTAATTTTTTATGGGTTTCATCAAAAAAAATTTGGTTTAATCCACCACAAACACATGCATGAGCAAGGTTAGGGTATAATTTCTTGATTTTAATTCGATTTTTTTTGTTTTCGATTTCTGGGTTATTTTGTTTCCGAATTCAATTTTGATTTTTTTTTTTCTGATTTTTGTTTCTTGTTTATTCGATTTTAATACATTTTGTTTTCGATTTTGATTATTTGTTTTTGATTATTTGGTTTTTTTTTTAATTTCAATTTTGATTTTTTTTCGATTTTTTTTTATTCGATTTTAATATATTTTGTTTTCGTTTTTTATTTTTTTATTTTTCGATTTATGGATTATATTTTTTCTTATTTTTTACTTTGAATTTTTTTTCGATTTTTGTTTTTGTTTATTCGGTTTTAATATATTTTGTTTTTGATTTTGATTTTTTGTTTGTGGATTTCTCGGTTTTTTTAATTTATATTTTTTATCTGGGTTTTTTCGATTTTAATTTACTTTGATTTCAATTTATTTCGATTTCAATTTATTTCAATTTCAATTTTGTTTTGTTTTTTTCGATTTCAATTTATTTCCATTTCTGGGTATTTTTTATTTGGGTTTTTTTTGGTTTAATTTTTTGGCGATTTCAAATTTTTTTGCGATTTTAAATTTTTTCTTTGTTTAATTTTTTTGAAGCTTAATTATATTAATCGTTTTTTTTGCTTTAATTGGTGCAAGTATCTTGAGTTAGATCTTAAATGGAAGAATCAAGATGCAAGAATATTGAGTTTATTTTTTTTATATGTTGTAATTGAACTACTACTGTATTGATCTATATTGTAAAATTGTTTTGACCATATATTGTAAATTTTTTATTATGTTGATTGAAATTCGATCTATATTTTGATGTTCTAAATAATTTAAGTCGATTTTTAATTGTTTGATGTTCTTAAAAAAAAAACAAAAAACAAATTAAAATATTTGGCACTTTTGGCACCGGTTAACCGGTGCCAAAAACAATTCCACATTTTTTTTAAATCTATTTTTGGCACCGGTTAACCGGTGCCAATTTCAAGTTTTGGCACCGGTTTGAACCGGTGCCTTTTTAAACCCCTTTTTGGAACCCCCCACATTGGCACCGGTTCAAACTGGTGCCTTAGGCCGGGTTTTAACCGGTGCCAAATTCATTGTTTCACGTAGTGTTGCTATCATAACACCAACCATTTTCTCACTTCGATCTCCGAAATAGCTTAATTTAGGCTAAAGATAACACCAACTAACTCTTTGGGTTCGACCCTATACTTACCTATACTTGTTTTAGGTTGGTTTAGGATTTTATAAATAGTGTTTGATTTTGGGATAGGCAATTAACGACTAGTTTTTTCCTCTATCAAAATGGTGCCGTTGCCGGGGAGTGAAATTGGTGCTTAGCTTTAGTTGTTGAGTCTATTTAATTTTAATTGAAAATAAAATACAAAAAGATTTTGTTTCTTAAGGCTACATTTGTAGCCGTGCTACTAATATTTTCATTGAGTTTTGCATGCATAGAGCTCGTGATCGATCCATTGTGCCTTTTGACCCGGAAATCGAAAGGACTCTTTCAAGGAGAAGAATTTCTAGTCGATCCTTTGAATTTAGTTCTTCAAGCGAAGAAGGATTTGAAGAGGAACTAGGCATGGGAGATCAACCAAGAGTTGCTTTGAAAGAATTGGGAATTCCCGGTGCGTACAAGTTTGAGAGTGGAATTGCTCCACCTACAACACCGACGAATGACTTCGAAATTAGGCCGGCTATGATAGCTTTGATCGAAAGGAGACAATATAGCGAAGCTAAGAATGAGAGTCCGTTGAACCATCTCAAGGAGTTCAAAAAGTATTGCAACACTATCAAAGTGAACGGAGTTTCTCAAGAATTCATCCGGCTAAAGTTGTTTCCATTTTCTCTCATAGACCGAGCCTTGGAGTGGTTGGATTAGGAGATAAAGCCAAATTCCCTTCGAACATGGGACAAAGTCACCAAGGAATTCTTGTCCTAATTCTACATTACCCAGAAAATAAAACGGCGGAGGCTAGAGCTTTGATTCAAGGGTTCAAGCAAAGACCTAGTGAAAGCCTCTACGAAGCATGGGAGAATTATAAAGAGTACCAAAGGGAATGTCCCCACCACGGAATTCCAACCTATCAAGTCATTCAAATTTTCTATGGTGGCCTAAGTCCTCAAGGCAAATCATGCCTTGATGGGGGTGTCGGAGGTCCCATAATGAATCGGACGGAAGAGGAAGTGGTGGACATTATAAAGGACGTGGTTAAGTACTATAGAGATTGGCAAGATGGTGAGAGTGATTCAACTAGAAAGAGTGGCTCTTCGGTGTACTCAATAGACCATCTAAATGCGATCAACGACTTATCCTCACAAATGATAAACTTGGGGAAAGAAATGACCGCGATCAAGGCCATGTTGGAAGGCTCCTTTTCTTCTCAAGCTTCAAATTCTCCCTCCCAATTTAAGGGGAGAGGTACCTTTTCTAACTCTCAACCCCCTCCCTCTTCAAATAACATGCCTAGTGGTTGCTTGTTTTGTGATGCATGTGGATCTTATGATCATGACTCTTGTAATTGCCCTCATGCTTCTCCGGAATGTGGTGATGATTTTGATAATAGTGAGAGTGAGCATGTGAATTATGTGTCAAATAATAATGTGCAAAGGTTTGATAATCAAAGAGGTCAATGGAATAGGAATTACCAAAACCAAGGTTATTTTGACAACTATAACCAAGGTGGTGGTTATAGGAACCAAGGGAACCAAAGTTCTCGTGGCAACTATAACAATCAAGGTTATAGTAGTCAAAATCAAAACAAAAATTATGGTAATCAAAACCAAAGTTATGGAAATCATAACCAAGGTAGTGGAAACAATAATCAAGGTTATGGTCAAAATCAAAATAGGGGTAATTGGAACAATCAAGGTAGCGGCAATTTTCAAAATAATTCTCAAAGAGGTCCCCCACCCGGATTTATTCCAAAGACTCAAGGTGAAAATTCCTATTCACAATCTTCTTCTTCTAGGACCAATTTGGAGGAAATAATTGAAAATTAAACTAAGTTGTTGAACACATATATGGCCGTTAGTGACAAGAAGTTCAATGAAATGATGACCCCCAACAAAATACTCGAAAACCAAATTTCTCAACTTTCTAGTGCTTTGAAAGACAAAGCAAGCCCTTCTTCTTTACCTTCCCAACGCCTAGATCCCAAGAAACCCGTGAATGCTATTGTTACAAGGAGTGGTAAGGTTCTTGAGGAGAGATTTCCCAGGAGGAGTGATAACAAGGAGGTCCCCAAGGAAGTTTTGTTTGAGAATGAGGGAAGTAGAGCATATTTAGATGAGATTGTGGTTGAGACACCAAGAGAGGTGAAAGTAGAGAAAGAGATTATGAAACCCAAGCTCATTTATCCCTAAAAATTCATGAGACACAAATTGGATGAGCAATTTGGGAGATATATTGATATTCTCAAACAACTTCACCTTTCTCTACCTTTCACTGATGTGATCAACCAAATGCCTAATTATGCCAAATTCCTCAAAGACATTTTGAGCGGAAAGAGGACTTGGGATGTTGTGGAGACAATCAATTTGAATGAAAATTTTAGTGCGATCATTATCAACAAAATGCCACCCGAGTTGAAAGACCCCAGAAACGTTTCCATCCCTTGTGCTATTAACAAGATGCAATTTGATAATGCCTTATGTGACTTAGGAGCTAGTGTAAGCTTAATTCCATATTCGGTTTATCAAAGACTTGATCTAGGGGAACTCTTACTTTCTAACATTACCTTGCAATTAGCCGATAGGTCAATCAAGTTTCCAAAAGGTAAAGTGGAAGATGTTCCATTCAGGGTTGGGAAGTTTGTGTTCCCGGTGGATTTTGTTGTTTTAGAAATGGATGAAGATGCTACCATTCCAATTATTCTAGGTAGACCCTTTCTTGCTACCTCGGGTGCTATGATAGATGTAAAGTATGCAAAGATTTCCCTTAAGATAGGAGATGAGGTCATAGAATTCGATTTGAATGAAAGCATAAAATATCCAAGTTCTTTTCTTGAAAATTGCAAGATGATTGACTCTCGTAATCATGTTGTGTCTTCCATGCATGAGCACCTCTAACGATGCTCTTGAGAATGTTTTGTTAAACAAAGATAAGCTAGGTGTACCATGCAAGGAGGTAGCATTGTATGAAGATTTGCTTAATGGAAGCATGGAGGAAGGGGATGAACAATTGTGCTTGAGATCTCAAGCCATGAAGCTTTGCAAGCGGCCGCAACAAAAGAAGGTAAAGGTGTGCCTATGGTAGAGCTCAAACCTCTACCATCACACCTTAGGTATGAATTCTTAGGCCCAAATTCCACTTAACCCGTAATTGTTAGTGCATCCTTGAGCGAGAGCCAAGCTCAAGCGTTATGTTGTGTCTTGAGAAAGCACCAAGGTACTTTGGGATATACTATCGATGATCTTAAAGGTATAATCCCCGCTTTGTGTACGCACCACATAACGCTTGAGGAAGGCACCCTTCCTTCTATTGAACGACAAAGAAAGCTACACCCTCAAATGGGAGAGGTGGTGAAAAAAGAGATCACAAAGCTCTTGGATGCGGGAATCATATTCCCCATCTCAAGCTCTAGGTGGGTTTCTCCCGTTCATGTCGTTCCTAAGAAGGGGGGTATGACCGTAGTCAAGAATGAGAGTGGTGATCTCATTCCAACTAGGACGGTCACCGGTTGGAGGATGTGTATAGACTATAGACGTCTAAATACATCCACCAAAAAGGATCACTTTCCCCTTCCATTCATTGATCAAATGTTAGAGAGACTAACAAGGCACAAGTTATATTGCTTCCTTGATGGCTATTCGGGATTTTTCCAAATTCCAATCCACCCCGAAGATCAAGAGAAGAAAACATATACATGCCCCTATGGGACCTTTGCCTATAGGAGAATTCCATTTGGCCTTTGTAATGCCCCCGCAACTTTCCGAAGGTGCATGATGAGCAATTTTGTAGACATGTTGGAGGAAGAAATGGAGGTATTTATGGATGATTTCTCCGTAGGTGGGGTTTCATTTGAAGAGTGCCTAGTTAATCTTGAGAAATGTTTGGCTCGGTGTGTAAAGGTTAATCTTGTCTTGAATTGGGAGAAATGCCATTTCATGGTGGAGGAAGGGATAGTGCTTGGGCATAAGATCTCTCATAAAGGAATAGAGGTGGATAAGGCCAAAATTGAGGTTATTGAGAAGCTTCCACCTCCGGTGAATGTCAAGGGAGTGAGATCATTTTTGGGTCATGCGGGATTCTATAGAAGATTCATAAAGGATTTCTCTCTCATTTCCAAGCCCCTTAATGATCTCCTTCAAAAATATTTTGAGTTCGTTTTTGATGATAAATTCTTGGAAACATTTAATAAATTGAAAAAGGCCCTAATCTCTACCCCCATTGTTCAAGCCCTAAGATGGGATTTACCCTTTGAATTGATGTGTGATGCTAGTGATTGGGCAATTGGAGGTGTTTTGGGACAACGTATGGACAAGAAGCTTTATATGATTTACTATATGTCCAAGACGCTGAATAAGGCCCAAAAGAATTACACAACAACGGAAAAAGAATTCTTAGCCATTGTTCCCTCTTTCGACAAGTTCCGGTGTTATTTTTTGGGTTCCAAGACCATTGTCTTCACGGATCATGCGGCTCTCAAGTATCTCTTTGCCAAGAAAGAGTCCAAGCCAAGGTTGATTCGTTGGGTGCTTGAATTACAAACTTTTGAAATTGAGATTAGGGATAAGAAGGGTGCGAAAAATGTTATGGCGGACCAAATTCATGATGATGGTCTACTAATTGATGATAGAATGCTTGATGATTTCTTGTATGCCATTAAGGTTAAGGATCTCCCATGGTATGCCGACTTAGTGAACTTTCTAGCATGTGGGGAGTTTCCACCTTCTTTCTCCAAGAACCAAAATAAGAAGCTCAAGAGGGAGGCAAGACATTACTTGTGGGATGAACCAATCTTGTATAAACACGGGGTGGAAGGCTTGCTTCGGCGTTGTATCCCGAATAAAGAGGTGCCAAGTGTTCTAAAGATGTGCCATTCGGATCCAAGTGGCGGTCATATGGGCGTTTCAAAAACCACCACTAAGGTTCTTCAATGTGGTTTGTGGTGGCCGCATCTCTTCAAAGATTTATGGATCTTTGTAAAGTCATGCGACCGATGTCAAAGGGTTGGGAATATCTCCAAGAGGATTGAGATGCCTCAACAGCCTATTCTTGAGTTAGACGTGTTCGATGTTTGGGGGATTGACTTCATGGGACCATTCCCATCTTCATATGGTAATCAATTCATACTTGTGGCTGTGGACTATGTTTCTAAATGGGTTGAGGCCATTGCCTCCCCTAGTAATGACCATAAAGTAGTGTTCAAGTTGTTCAACAAAATCATCTTCCTAAGGTTTGGCGTGCCTAAGGCAGTGATAAGCGATAACATATCTCATTTTGTTCACAACGCCTTCCAAAAGATGTTAAGGAAACATGGAGTGCATCAACGGTTTGGCCTTCCATATTATCCTCAATCGAGTGGCCAAGTCGAGGTCTCCAATTGTCAAATAAAGCTCATTCTTGAGAAGACGGTTGCATGGAATAGAATGGATTGGTCGGACAAGTTAGATGATCCTCTTTGGGCTTATAGGACGGATTTCAAGACGCCTATTAGTACCACTCCATATCGCCTTGTCTATAACAAGTCTTGCCATCTCCCGTGGGAGCTTGAACACCGTGCTTTATGGGAAATCAAAAAGATAAAATTTGATTTAGAAAGTGCGGGGGAGAAAAAGTGGTTGGATCTTCATGAGCTAGAGGAGCTTAGAGTTGATGCTTATGACTGTGCTAGCACCTACAAAGCTCGTTCCAAAGAAGCTCATGATAAGCTTATTGAGAAAAAGGAGTTTTGTGTGGGTGATAAAGTCCTCCTCTACCACTCGAGAATGAAGTTATTTCCTGGAAAGCTCATGTAAAAATGGAGTGGTCCTTTCTTGGTGAAAGATGTTTTTGCTAATGGCACCATGGAGATTTCTCCTTTGGATTCCTCATCTTCTTTCAAGGTTAACAGTCATCGGCTTAAGAAATATTTTGATGGAGTGTTTGTTGGTCTTATTCATAAAATGATTCTTTTCAAACCACCTTGAGTGGGGTGGTAAACGTCGAGCTAACGACGTTAAACAAAAGCGCTTACGGGAGGCAACCCGGATTCTCACCTTTACTCTCTTTTCCTTCCTTTCTTTTATTTTTTGGTTTTTTATTGATTTTTGCTCTTACCTTTCCTTGTATTTTTGGTTTGTTTTGTAGGGTGCCTTAATTAATCATATACGGACTAAATGTGTTTGTTGAGGGTGATAAGAGGTTTTAAAGTGCAGGGGAGAGGGCACCCCGCGGGCTTGAAGAGGCCTCGGGTGCCCTTGCTTTGAACAAGTGGAAATCGGATCAGTAGCTCTCCGCGAGCTCTCCGCGGGCGCAGGTGCCTTAGAGAGAGGGCGGGGGAAATTCAAAGAGAGCGCGGCTCATTTTCTAAAATTTGGATCTGGAACTCTCCGTGGTCTCTCCGCGGGCGCGACAATTTTGGAGCGGGCGCGGGAGAATTAGAGAGGGCGCGACCCCTGGTCAGGTATGAAATTTACGGATTTTCCAGAAACTCTCCGCGGTTGCCCTGCGGTCTCTCCGCGGGCGCGGCAATATTGGAGCGGGCGCGGCTTTGTCGAGAGAGGGCGCGGGCATCTGGGTTTTTAGTAGACCCAGTTCCTCTCTCTTTCTCTCTCCTCTCTTATTTTCCCTTTCACTCTTAATTTTCCCCATTCTCTCTCTTCCTCCTCTCATACCCTAACCCCCAAATCATCTCCTTCACTCAATTTTACTCAAATTCACCCTTGTTTTCTCTTAAATTTCCATACAAACTTCATTCATACTCCATTTTCATCAAGTTTTCTCTTCTTTCTCGTGGTTTTCTTTCAAAATTTCGAGTCTACTCGGTTTTGTGCTTGATTTAGGTCTTCGATCTTGGTATACTTCTCACCTTTGTTTTATTTTTGTCAATTTCAATTGATTTTTATGCATTGGTTGTGAGTGACCTTGATTAAGCTTGAGTATGATGTTTTTGGTAGTTTGTATGGAGGTTTTGGAATTATTTTGGATGTTTTTGTGCTTCTTTTTGTGATAGATTGTTAATATTGTTGGTTGTTGTTTGATTTTTGGTTATTTGTTACTTGTAATAGGTACTTTATAGTTTGTGGTGGTTTTGGGTGGTCTAGCGAACGGAGGTTTGTTCACTTTGGTGGTAGTGTTGAATTTGGGTTTTTGTGATTCATTGTGTTGGTTGAGCTTGAAACTATGGATTTGTTGAGGAGAATTAAGAGTAGCTAGAGAAGTTTAAACCAATCCCCCGACCAATCCTCTCGTGGCCAACCTTCAAACACCGAACCCCCTCAAAACCAAACTACTCAAGATAATGCCCCACCTCCTCCTTTACCTGCTCTCAAATTTCATAACCGGGCTAAAAACACCCCTATCTATAATAAAATGAAATCTCGGAAATTTAGACTGTCCCGCATCTATTTTCTCGAGGATATGGAAAAATTGGGTGTTGATGCCGATCTTAACATTTTGCTCCGTAATCTTGGTTTGGATGAGTTTGTAAAGTCATCCCCCCTGAACTTATTTGGAACCATGCATTGAATTTTCCTCCACCTTTGAGTTTAATATGACGGGGGATACCGACTATATCATCTCTTTTCAACTTTTCAATTCCAAGCATACCATGAACCTTGCGGAATTCAACAAAGCCCTTGGTTTCAACCCAAATACCGACATCTTTGATCCCTTGGTTGCCCTTCACAAGACCGAATACAATGAGGTTGCTTGGTGGAGAGCCATATCTAGGAAGAAGTCGTTTGACTATAAGGAATTGCTTGCTAGCGGGATTATTCACCCAGCTCTTCATATTCTCCATCGGATTCTTGGGTATACAGTGTTTAGTAAGCAAGATCTTAGGAAGCTTTCGAGGGAGGAGATCTTGGTTCTTTGGATGGCTACAAGGCAGGATTTGGGGCCAAGGTTGAATTTTGGGTATCTT